AACTGAAATACATTCTTACCCCGGTGCCCAAATCCATCACATACAGTCAATTTTGGAATCATATGACCATGATCCCAAACCTACTACCATTATTCTTCATGTAGGCCTCAGCAACCGTGATCAACTACCAAAGACCTCCTTTAACCAAGCCCAGAAATTAATAGCCACAGCCAACAAAACCTTCCCAAACTCCAAGATCCTCTTCACATGTATACCCATTTCAAATAAAATCTCGAAGAAAGCACAACAGAACCTCAGCACTCTCAACAACATGATGATGGAGTCCAGTATCAACATCAACAATGTTACCACCCTACGAAGAAGAATTCGAACCAGTTGATAATCTTCATTGGTCTCCAGAAACAGCAAACAGCATTTATTTGTTTTGGATACACCAGCTTCAAGCGTCGAGTAAGTCTTTAAACTAATTACTGGGGATAAAAATACTGAGAGGCCACCGCTAGGCCAAACTGTAGTTAACTTGAGCCGCAAAATTCTCACACCCCTTCAGCATTCAATCTTAGACCGTGGACTTAAATTTATTCCCACACCAAAGATAGCTAACTTGAATTATCTCCGACCATCCATTGAACGATTTCGACGAAATCTTAGCTGCACATACCCCACGTGGTGCTAGAACCATCAAAGACGACAAACCAGCTACCAGCAGGACGGAGAACAGTAAATGCTGAATTAAAAAATTTTGTGTGTAAAATTTGCTATTGATCTACCTGCTTAATCTGAATTTCAAGTAGTTTTTGGTTAAGGTCATTGCTTTGGTTAGTTGAAACCTTCAGAATAAGTAGGTCACATATTTATCTGCAATTTGGAGTTTACTTTACTTAAATATGCGTACACCATGTTTCATACACTAACCAAAAGTATAGCGATTTCAAAAAATTGGTCCAAACATCCAGATAAAATAAGGGACACATTCTCTAGATTTTTCTCTATTCATTTTATTTCATTCGTCATAAAAATCACATAAAATCTGTAGTTGTGTCCATGAACAAATTTTGAAGCATTTTATCTAAGTCAAGGGCAATAACTCATCGAAAAATCATCGAGTTCAAACTTGTCCAAGATCTCATCAATATAAATGATCACACCAAATTTCATTAAAATCAGTTGAAAACTGTAGTCTCAATTGTGTTCGCCAACAAATTTTGACGCGTTTTTCCTAAGTCAAGGGCAATAACTCAAAAACCGTTCATCGAAAGATTGTCAACACCGAACTTGTCTAAAATATCATCAATATAAATGATCACAGTTGAAAACTTGTAGTCTCTATTGTGTTATAAGCAATGAATCATCATATTAAATTAAATTTAACCTGTCTTGGTTGCATTTCCAAATTTGGTATCTGACCATTAACTCACGGAATAATTACCTGGTATTTTTTTATCCATGTAGCTAACATTCTGAAATAAATCAAAAAAATAAAATTTTGATAAAACATATTGGAGTGTAAAGAGAAAGTGCATCGATTTGCTAGGAAATTCATCGGTGCTAAAAAATGTTGCAAGCAGTCTATTGGTACTAAATAACTCAGTGCAATGTGTATAAGAATTAATAATTTTGCCAATTTCTAGTACACATGTTATGAAACATGCATTATGCTCCCCAACTACAACAACCACTGGCAAGAAGCCAGACATAGAAACACTAATCGTCAACCAAACCAATATCACGTACCCTACAACGGCCCTGTCTTCCATCGACCTCTACCACCTACCAATTGCCGACCACCAACCAACCCATCCAGCTATATACCACCTACCTACAACACAGCCTACCAATCAAGAGGTAACTATCGACCTGACCAACAACAGAAACGACTACCAGCCCACCGACGCCAACCAGTCCCCACTCATAAGGAGGAAGAACCCTTTGTGAAGGTGTTCTTCCAAGTTTTGCAGTGTCTCCATCATTTGACAGTCCTTACCCTTCAACAGCAAGGCCAAGCAACGTTTACCTTCAAACGCAAAGTCTCTGAGTTGGATAGTTTTATGCGTCCAGCAATGAAAACATCAGCTGTTGATGCGAATATTAGATCCCTCAATCGGACATGGCTCTCTAAGGTTACGCAGGTCCTGATCGACTATTACCAAACCACACTTCAAGAGAAGCTGACCACCATTCGTACCAAGTCTTTATCATCACCTGCCGTCGACCGCATCGTTTCTCATGCCCTGTCCTGGGCCCGTCGCTCCTATGGGAAACGTCTCACTCAAGCTGTAATCACCAAATTCTACCAAACAATCAACTAAACAATAACCAGAGTAACCATATCTCTACCAACTGAAATGGACACTACACCTGCACCATCTAGAGCCACCACGTTGCTTAACCAAACCCCTAAACGAGCCCGAAGTTCACCTACTCCTAGTCCAGCAGACATAGGTAAACGCTCTCGTAGAGAGGGCACCCCCCTTCTCTTTTCACTTTCAGACTCGTCTTCCGCTTCCACACCATCTGAATCTTCACCACGTGATCCAGGATCCGCCATCCTTTCTTCCCTCTGTGCGTTTTTGGACCAGCAAACCACCCCTCAGTCTCCATCCAAGTCGAGACGTGTATCCAGACTTTCCCCCCACGAACCAAATCCCAGTCCGTTCCCAATGCTACAATTCTAACAACTACCAAACCAGTACCAATCACACCGTCGACGACCATTATATCCGCTACCAAACCGTATTATCACCAAACCAAGGACAAATCATTATGGAAGCTACCTGCTCTAAAGAAATCTACCTTAATAATTGGATCATCTACACCTGAATCGAATTACCAAAACCAGTTCAGACACTGAAATACATTCTTACCCCGGTGCCCAAATCCATCACATACAGTCAATTTTGGAATCATATGACCATGATCCCAAACCTACTACCATTATTCTTCATGTAGGCCTCAGCAACCGTGATCAACTACCAAAGACCTCCTTTAACCAAGCCCAGAAATTAATAGCCACAGCCAACAAAACCTTCCCAAACTCCAAGATCCTCTTCACATGTATACCCATTTCAAATAAAATCTCGAAGAAAGCACAACAGAACCTCAGCACTCTCAACAACATGATGATGATGGAGTCCAGTATCAACATCAACAATGTTACCACCCTACGAAGAAGAATTCGAACCAGTTGATAATCTTCATTGGTCTCCAGAAACAGCAAACAGCATTTATTTGTTTTGGATACACCAGCTTCAAGCGTCGAGTAAGTCTTTAAACTAATTACTGGGGATAAAAATACTGAGAGGCCACCGCTAGGCCAAACTGTAGTTAACTTGAGCCGCAAAATTCTCACACCCCTTCAGCATTCAATCTTAGACCGTGGACTTAAATTTATTCCCACACCAAAGATAGCTAACTTGAATTATCTCCGACCATCCATTGAACGATTTCAACGAAATCTTAGCTGCACATATTTTTTTCGAACCACCCCCCCCCCCCCACGTGGTGCTAGAACAATGTTTATTCCTAAATCCACGTGGACACCCTCTCAGGCCGCCATCCATCCTGAAATATTGAAAGCATTTGCGAGTATGAATAGCCAAACAGTGAACCTTTCCATAACACACGAAAAGCCTAATCTCACACGAGTGGAACGTGAAGCGTCAAACTTACTTAAGAAAGACGATAGCATTGTTATTAAAAAGAGTGACAAAGGTTCATGCTGTGTCATTCTGAATAGGGAGGATTACGTTTCAGAAGCAGAGAATCAACTGAATAATCCTAAACATTATGCCATTTTACCGAAACCAATTTTCAAAGAAACTGCTAACATGCTTAACAATATTCTTGCCGATTTAGTCAAAACTAGTTATCTCAAACAGAAACAATATGACTATCTGTCTGCCAAACCTGATTGTCGCGAGAGACATTTGTACACTTTGCCTAAAATCAATAAGAATCCAACCAAGGAGTGGTTTATCTCGAATAAAATCCCTTAAGGCCGCCCGATTATATCTGACTGTGGTAGTGAGTCATATGCAGTGTCAGAATACATTGATCATTTCTTACTACCTCTAGCATGTCAACACCGCGCCTACCTTAAAGACACAAACGATTTTGTCAATAAAATAAAAAATATTCGAGTTCCCTCTAATGCTATTTTAATTTCTATCGACGTTTCTTCTATGTATATCAATATCGATAACACTACTGGTCTAACGGCAGTTCGTAAAGCTTTTAATAGAAACCCAGATCCAAACAGAACCGACGATGCAATTCTACAGCTTTTAGAGATTTGTCTTATTCGAAGCAATTTCACATTTAATGTGTACTAGGGCTTACACAAGACTGACTGGAATGTAGCACTTCACGTTGTGTATTTTAAATAACTTTATTACAGTGATTTACATAGAGGAAAAGATGGTTACAACCTCATGCCACGTTGTTGACTATATGACGACATGCTAGGAAGTGTCGAAAGCGTGGCTTTGGTACAAGTTCGTTTATTGTAGTCTGCGTTGGGGACATCTTCGTGTTGTTGTTAATACATTATATTAGTCCGAGACACCGAACTTTAATTGTCACTTTCTGAAGATTCCAAAAATTTGGAGCGGGGGCGAATGGCAAGTCTCTTGCTACATCTCAAGGGAACAGTCTCTACTTGTGGAACAGAAGAGTTTGTGTCCGTAAAGAATTCCTTTGGTTCTGAAAGAGATACTTCTAAAGGATAAAGTAGGTGAATAGAGCGATTGGTAACACCATGTTTAGTCTGGATTGACGCAGCACGAACAAAACCATCAGTTCCATGGATTAAGTCCTTCACAAGAGCAAGTTTCCATAAACTTCGGGGTCGATCTTTATCATGCACCAATACCACATCCCCAATCTTTATGAGATTTGTTCTGGCTTCAGTCTTCTTTGATTGGTAGGTGTGCCTCTCTCTTAAAGTCGACAGATACTCAGATTTAAAGCGATTGACAAAATGGTGAAACACTGCTGCTCGATGTCGCATCGCCTTGTTCAAACCATCATGAAGTCGGTAATCTTCGTCTACTTCAACATCAGGATCAATACCCGGATGAGGTAATGCGGTAATATCATAACCGTATAACAGTTTTGATGGAGTAATTGGTTCAGGATCTTCAACACTCGTTGATACGTATGTGAGTGGTCTGTCGTTCACAACGGACTGTACCTCTTTAACAAGTGTCTGCATTTCATTCAGATCTATGAGCGCTCTACGTAACACCTTCTTGATTACCATTTTCACCACACCAATCAACCGCTCATACATACACCCCAGTGAGGAGATTTTGCAGGAATGTGCTTCATGTAGTTAACTTTGTTGTTGGTGAGATGATTCTGTACGGTTGGTTTATCCAAACAGTTAAAAGCTTGGTTATTTCTTCATCAGCTTTCAGGAACGTTGCAGCGTTGTCACAAATTATCAAACTGGGAATACCATATATAGCGGTGTGTCTGCGAAATGCCTGCAAAAACTGATCTGTAGACATGTCAGTTACAACTTCTAGGTTTACGTTTCGTGTTGTGCTACATGTAAATAGACAAATGTAACACTTCTGGACTTTCTTTTGGGCCATTCTTTACCATCAGATGACCCGTAAAGTCGATACCAACCGTTGAAAATGGTTTAAGGCGGTTGAGACGAAAATCTGGTAAGACTGGATGTGGAGAAAGTCTGAAGGGCTTGCCAACATGGTAACGACAAATAACACATCGCCGGAGAACTCTTGATACTTCACTACGTGCTGCTGGTAACCAAAAACGTCTTCGTAAAGCTGTGACAGTTGAGCTTACTCCTGCATGTAGTTGAGAAGAATGTACTGATTTAACCAATAGTTCCGTTAAATGGGTCTTCCTAGATATCAGAATCGGTAATTTTGCATCTTTGTCGAGCTGGGCATGCTCGAGTCTGCCGGGGGCGACAATCAGGTTACCCAAGTTGAGTCTCAAACACAGTTGACGAACTAGTTGAGGCCTGGTCTTTGCAGAATTTGACTTCTTGAGTAAGTATGCGAGTTCAACTGGAAAACATTCTTTTTGGTGAGCTTCAAGAATGCTGAATTCAGCTCGTTGAATTTCTTCTGTTGAAGGAACTGGAATAACACTTAGCGTGATATCACGATGCTGACTGGTAACCAGATGACGCTGTTTTAAGTTCTGTATGAATCGTTGAACATATACCACTTTTCGAAGCAGTTTTTCATAAGAACTGTATCTGGAGACATCAAGAAGCTGGCTAACTGTACCATTTGAACCACATTCATTTGAACCACTTTCATTTGAAGCAACAGTAGATAAACATATGTTACCATTTGAATTTGGTTCGTCAGGATCAGCAATAACAGGTTCAGGCCATTTTTCGGGATAAGGCAACCAGTCGGGTCCGGAAAACCATAATCTTGATTCGATGAATTGATCTGCTGTACAACCTCTTGATGGCAAGTCAGCTGGATTATCTTCTGACCTGACATGATTCCATTTTCTGGCATCTGACAAACGTTGAATCTCATCAAGACGATTTCTTACAAAAATGTCCAGTTTCTTGGTTGATGACAACCATGAGAGACATATGCTAGAGTCTGTCCAGTAGAACTGTTCAACTACTTTGTAATCCTTGGAAATAATATCCATCAACGATCGAGATAATCTACAAACAATCACCATAGCAACCAGTTCCCATCTTGGTACGGTGTATTGACGTTTCGAAGATGCGGTTTTGAACCCGGAGGCAATCAAGCAGACCTTATCTTTTTGACGGAGACAGTACACTTGCAGCTGCAACATTTGGACTTGCATCACAGAACGTGTGTAGCTGTATGGGTATATCTTTATCGAAGTCGACGAATCCTTGAATTCGTATTGTCGATGCTGCTTCGATGTTCAACCCAATATCATGGTACTCAAGATGTAGATGAGCAGGGAGAGGTGTATCCCACTCATAATTCTTCTTCCAAAGTTCTGAGATGAAATTCTTCGCTCTGACAGTAACTGGAGACAGGAATCCCAATGGATCAAACGTTGAGGAGGCCGAACTTAAAGCTGAACGTTTGGTAAACTTATCTTGTGAAAATGAAACGATTGTTTTCTTCGGGAATGAAATAGTATCTTCGTGATGATTCCATACCATACCAAGTAAAGCAGTATACTCTTTAGTAGATCCAGTACTATCTTGCTTGATTATATTTTGAAGCGATTCTAGATTAGTTGATCATTGACGTAGGTTCATATCCGCTTCGCTCATAATCTGACGTGCTGAATGATAATACTGGATGGCTGTATATTCATCATCTTGACCACTTAGAACGTTGTCGCAGTATAGTCCGCTTTTGAGATCTGCTGCAACCTGTGATTTGAAATTGTCTGGATCCGCTACATACTTAGACAAGTGGTAGATAACTGTTGAGTTCAATATGAATAGTGAACTTTTACCACCGAAGAAAACAGAGGTATATCTGTAGACTTTAATTGGTTTGGTTGGATCTCCATCTGTATAACAAAGGAATCTAACATAATCACGATCAGGTTCAA